TTCAGTCAAAACCGGGTCAAACCCAAGTTTTATAACTGATTTTTCCAACATCTCTGACGCATACCTCTCCGTCGATGTACACCGCCGTTGATATCGTCAGCCTCCGCCGGTCGGTCCGTCAAGAAGCTGCCCTGTCGCCGATTTTTGATCTCCAACTCGAACCACTGCCGCCACTTGCCGCTGGTCACGTCTCCAAATAAATGATAGGTCGGTCTGATTATTGAGGTTATGAAAAGGAAATCCAAACGAGATTGAAGGATGTTTTATTGTTGGATCCATAGAGAATATTGAGTGAAATTGATGACTTATTTTCATTTCACAGAGATGAAATGAAAGAGAGAAAGAAAAGGAAGGAATTAGGAAGAGGAAGAGAAGAAGGAAAAGAAAAGAGGAGATTGACGGGAAAGGGAAAGAGAAGAGAAAAAGGGGGAGAAAAAAAAAAAGAATTGGACCTTGACCAAGAGGATTAAAAATTAATATTTCGCTGCAGTGTTTGAAATTCCTTTTTATTATATATAGAACATAGATAAACTAAACATATACATTTTTCAGATTTTCGATCAACCTGTTTTGGATTTAAATTCACAATTTTTTTTTTTTTTAATTCAACATGTTGCTGTTTTATTGCTTGCCATGTGAGAGAAGAGATTCCTATTCTTTTTAATTACATACGGTAACTAAGAGAGAATAAACATATCATTCTTAATCTACAATTTAATTATCTAGTATTACACCTAATTAAAATATTAAATAGACATGAAATCGTACATGTGCAAATATTTTTACAAGGTTGTGTATGTGCTACTATTTATCATTAGTTTCGCTAGGTATGTAAATTCCCCATGTATTTATTATATCATAGTAAATAAATGTGTAAAAATTTTGTGCTTTAAAACTATGAGGAGTTGTATAAGCTATATGGTCCATTTGGCATAACATGTCACTCTCAGCTTTCACTGCAAACGGGCCATATATCTAATCATCCCCAATTTAATTATTTAATAATTATATTATACATATATGAATTAAATTTTTTAGACTTTGGATTGTCCTTGGACCATGTTTGATGAATTTTGGAGATTGGGTTAGTGTGCAAGCAATCTATCTATGGCCCATTTATCAATTTAATCAGGCCCAGTCCACTCCCTCCATCTTCATCTACATGCTCACAGATTAACACAACCAGGCGCCGGCTCTTTTCTTTTTTCTTATGCGAAACACATCGAAACCCTAAATTTTCGTTGCTATCCAATCTCAGCACACTTTCGATGGCTGATTTACCGGGGTTAGGAGACTACGTGGTTCAGGGTGTAAACGTGGATCTGGGAGTGGAAAATGACGGATTTACTGTATCCGGCATAGACGTTGATCCCCTGCCCGTTGGAGTGGTTCCAACTAACCAGCAGGTGGCGGCTGAGGATAGGAGGAGGAGAAAATTGGTAAAAATGGTTCCAGATATGAATGAGCTTGATGCAGCAGAACGCGAACTGAGGTACCATGAGGTCCTCAACAGAGCAAATCCCATGCCTCCGCTCCACCCGGCATTGTTACTTATGCTCCAGAATATCCAGGAGAGCCAAAATTTGGCCAATCTGAGGATGGAGACATTATTACGAGTCATGTCTGCGAGGACCAGAAATCAACGCATCAAGGAAGAAGAAATGGATGAACTCTATCGGCCCTTGCCAAAATTGATGGTCGGGCATCCATATGCTGCGGTATTACCCGTCCAAGGAGTCAATATTGCTGTGGGGGGTTATCAGGTGGGTGATCTGCCCCCTGACGGACTGGTACCGACAAACAATGAAGGGTATATACAAGCGAGCCACCTAAACCTGCCTGATCTTAGAAGAAAACTTAGAGCTATCTATTGGTTTTATCACGACGAGAGTCTGTTCATCCCCCACAATGCCCCACTGCGAATGTGCCACCAGGGTTTGGTAGCTCTTAAGAGGTTTCACCTTCCTTGATGTTCTCAGCCCTCAGGTATAGCCTTATAATTTTATTTTTGTTTTTGATTGTGGGATAATATATGTTTGGTAAATCATATGATTGTGTTGTATTTGTGTTGTATTGGTACTGGTTCCCTACAAACTATTGCCTCTCTTCTTCTACCATCCTTCTCTCTAAAAATGTTGTTGAGATTGCTATGCTATTGCTTGTTTTCTTCATATTATGGTTGCTTGTTTTCTGATTAGCTCATGTTTGAGTTTTCTGTATTTTTTTTCTGTTGCCTAAGAACCAAAAACGGGTTTTCCTTTTATGTGCTAAGTAGCTTCTGCAATTGGCCATTATGGCATTAGCTGGCAGTGACACATGCACACATAAAGCATGTCGTCTTCATCATTTTGTAAAAAGTTTTTTTACAGAAATTAAAAACAGAATTTTGCCCCAATTTTTCTCTCGAAAATGGCGTTCGCTTCTTCCACTGTTTGTGAGTTGCAATGGAGCTCATGACCTTAGGTTCCCTGAGCACACTGTGGTGTGACAATAAGGCAGCTCTCCATATCACGGTTAATCCGGTGTTTCACGAGAGAACAAAGCATTTGGATATAGACTGTCATGTTGTGCGGAACAAATACAAGGAAGGTTTCATTTGTCCTCAACATATATCCACCTCTTTGCAGCCGGCCGATGTTCTTGCCAAATCACGCGGAGGAAAGGAGTTCAGAGCTTTCTTGCTCAAGTTGGGAATGATGGAGTGCCCTCACATTCCCACTTGAGGGGATTGCTATGCTATTACTTGTTTTCTTCATATTATGGTTGCTTATTCTCTGATTAGCTCATGTTTTAGTTTTCTGTATTTTCTTTCTGTTGCCTAAGAACCAAAAACGGGTTTCTCACTTGTAGAAACGAGTTGCGTTTTTTCTTTTATGTGCAAAGTAGCGGGGCACATGTAATTCTGCAATTGGCCATTATGGAGTAAACTAAATAAAACCTATAAAACCTGCTACTGCGAGATTAAAGATTTTGAGAAAACATGGAGGAACAAGATGGCGTTCCAAATATCGCACCAGCGAAAGAAATTTGGTCCGAAAAAAATATCGAAATGGATTCAATGTGTTTGGATCCAATAATAGAGGATGATATTTTTAATGAAGTTGGTAAAAAAAATGGAGCCTAGAAAGAAAAACCCTACAGAGCAAGTTTTTCAAAATTTCTTTCATTGTTTTTATTTTTCATCGTAACTATGCTTGGAGGGTTGAGTTGCATATTTCTTTTGTTTACTAAGGTGACGGGAAAAAAAAAAATCTGACTATAATTTATTGTTTTTGTGTTTTATTGATGTTATAGTTAATATATGTATTTGTGTTGTATACTTTTTTATTTTTTTTGCTAAAATTCTATGTGCTTACATATTTGTAGGAGAAACATGTGTTCTGCTAGTTGTGTGAAAGATGTTGTTTTAAGAGTATTTTTAAATATAAAATTTTAATAACTATTTTTTTATTGATAGTTTCATGTGTTTGTTGCAGTTTACAAGCATTTCAAGAAGATGAGACTGAGGCTATTTCATGGGAAATGCATTCCAAGAAGATGTTTATGCTATGTTTCCTCTTTTTACTTGCAGCACCTCCTGCTTAGTTCCTTAGTGTTAGTGTGAGTTTATTGAGTATAATGGACATTTATTTGCCTTTGTTTCTAGACCTTGATCCCTTTATTATTATTTACATATTTAGTTTTGTTTTGGGTGTCCTTGTACTTGTTTTTTTGTTAAATTCTATTCTGCTGAGGCCAGATAGATTATGTTCTTATATATAATACTCTAAAAAATAGAAGAAACACAAAGAAGCTTGTGAGTCTAATGCAACTGGCCTGATCTGTGCAAAGAGAGGAGCTTGCAGAAGGAGGTTTATTTTATTAGGGTTATTGGTAGTTGAATAAATTTATTAATAAGTATAAAGATATTTATTTGTTATATGTTTAGCCCTTGGATCTGAATTACATCTTTTAACCGAACCGAAACATTTTCGGTGCGGTTTTGGTTTGGTTTTTCTTTCAACTTCGGTGCGGTTTGGTTTGGACATCTGTAGAATGTTTTTTTTAATCAATGTCTGAAGACAAAAGGATTTAGCAGATAAAAGATCAAAATTTTGTGGGAATAGAATTCCAAACCCCCCAACAGACTTGTCCACAAACTGTAGCAAAGCACAAGATTCATGACAGCTTTAATCTACCCAAAAAAATTGTCATGAAAATACCTCCCTTACTGAACTCATTCATCATCTATATAAACCTTCACAACACCACAAAACCAAGACAAATCAATATCTCACAACTCCTTTTTTTCCAAATTACCCCTCCACATTACTCGAACAATGTCGTCGAGCCTTATTCTGGCATCCAAGCCTCACCCCTCGATGGCCGATAGGCTGCTCGCACTCGTCTCGACCGGGCCTCCGCACAACTTTTCCACCGAACACAAACCGTGCTACGATCAGCTGGATACGCTCGTCATGGATCCCCATAAGCCCACGGGCCTTCTTGCCCCAGGTGGCAGGGCCCGTGACTGCGGCATATTTTCTTCGGACGATAATGCCGTCACCAAACAGGTTGTCGCCACTCACGCACCCGCATTGAGGACCTCAACATTCTCGCCATTATCGAGGATATCTTGCGCCTCGCAAGGCCCATCTCGGCTCACGACTCGACTTCTTCGGTATTCACTCTTTTTGTCGAGCATTTTAATATACAACTTATTTTGTCGATTTTATCTGCTACTATATATACGATTTTGTTGGAAAATCATGTGGCGGAATCCGCACCACACATGTCGTCGCATGACGAGTAGTCCCTCCACCACTCAACCCACTGGTCTTCGGACGATAAGGCTTTCCACTCTCCCCACCCACCGGCTGCCGATCCCGACGCAGAAATCGTCGAAATCCTCGCTTATTCCATCAACAAGATATCCTCCTAGGTAAAAAAAAAACCCTTACATTTATGAATTTAACCTCTTGTCGAGACTCATGCGGTCACAATGGAACTCCTCAAGACCCTGTCGAGCTACTCGTGGGACACTAAGGCCGTAATCGTATCCGCGGCCTTCGCAATCAATTACGGCGAGTTCTGGCTCGTCGAGCAGCTCCAGACGACAAATCCACTCGCAAAAAACATCGCGGCCCTCAAGGACGTCCCTTCAATTATAGAACATGCAGGGGACCTGAAAAAAAGGTTCGAGGTTGTTCTCAACTTTCTGAACCAGGTCCTCCAGGTCACGCATTGCATCATCATGCTCAAGGAGCTGCGTGTACATCAGCCGTGAGTCGCCGGAGATATCGGTTGCAACAGCCCATGTTTTGACCGCCATCTATTGGATCTTGAGGAGCCTCCTCGTTTGTGCCTCAACTCTCTTAGACCTGATGGGCAGTAGGCATGAGTACCTTTTTTTTTTTTCAATTCTCGATAAGTAACTACGAAGCAGATGCTAAAGCATTTCGACGTATTTTTTTAGATACATGACCTCAACGGCCGAGTTGTGGGAAATACTGAACCTGGCGCACAAACTCTCGGTTATATTCAAGCACTTGCAAATCAGCTGAGGAAATGTATCGAGACAATGAGTAAGTTCGCGGTCGTTTAGTCCCTTTTTATCATCCGTAAACCAGAAAACCAAACATTACTACTATCCCTTCTTATTTTGATCTATATAGACAAGAAGAAGGCAGAAGATGCATACTTTGCATTAAGAAAACTTATGGAGTCGGCTCATATCGACAACATGAAAGTACTCAAGG